GTAAGATAGAGAGAGAGAGAGAGAGAGAGAGAGAGAGAGAGAGAGAGAGAGAGTTAAATCGAGAAGCCGTTATTGCGCGGAAATAATCGACTCGATTTACGTTTAAGCCGACACGCAGAGATAATTAATAAGCCATTTAACGCCGCAAGAAAAATCAAATCGTGCGACGTCCGCTAATCGATTCCATTTAAATATTTTGCTGCGAAACGTCCTCATTTTTCCGTCGCCGCCGCCGCATGAAAATGCACATATTATTAGAAATACGATAGCAGATCGGTTGAAAATACCAACTGTTTATTTGCATAAATAAGCCGAAGGGGCGAGTGAAGCGAGAGGCGAGCCCAAATTACGAACTATCACTGTCAGCTCTTTCGCGCGCGCGACCATCGCCGGAAGAGAGCTTGTATCTTGAATAGGGCTCTTGACCGTAGAATGGTAGCCACGTCTCCCTGGTGGTCTCCCCGGGTTTAAATTAGGAAACAATTTCATTAGCAGTCCCGCCAGCAAGGTCCTTTTGTTCGTCGGTGTATAGTCGGACGGTTTTATTCAACGAGCGAGAATGCTGCAGGGGGTTGGTAACGCGGCGGAACGTGCGAACAGCGAAGAGCGGAAAGAAAGGAAGAAGTAAAGACGACGGCGCGAGGGGGTAAGACCTCTGAATGTAAGACAGTTCGGCCGTCGGATTGGAAGGGTCGGGACTAACGGTTCCATCAGCTGATTGCACACCTCTGCGCGAGTCAGCGATGCGGAATCTCCGATGCGTTTATGGTGTTTCGCCGGTTCGTTAGCGATTATTAATGCGGGGAAAAATTCGGCCGAACCTGATCGGTGTAACGAGATGTCCCGAACAACCTTTCCTTGTCCGATACCTCCGTCGCGCGTGAACGTGAGAATGATTCTGATGTAATTGGAAGAGTATTTGTATCAGAAAGAAGTAACAGAAGGGAATTTTACTTTAAGAGGATGCTGGAGTCGAAATCTTTACCAACATACTGACTTTTTCTACAAAGTTTACGTCGTATCGGCTACAAATACTCTTACACAATAACAATATGTGTGAGAATGAATAGGAGCATTGCTCGATATATACATGCAAACGATTAAAAATTGCAAAGTTGATTTCCAAAGAAAATCAACCTGTCAGACGCTATCAATTAAAATAAATGTTCGCCTCATATGAAAGATTTATAGCTCTAATATATTGAACGCGTTTACTTCGCTCAGAAAAACTTCCAAGAATATTGCTGTATTTATGTCTAAATTTATAAACTTAAAAATATTAAGAAAATAGAAGAAGAAGAAGAAGAAGAGAGAGAGAGACCCAGGTAGAACATAAAATTATTTTTATGTTAAAATGGTTTTGATATAATTGTCATGAAATTGTCATGAAAATGATATCGTTTGACGTCAAAAACATCACTTTTATATCATTTGACTTCATTTTGACTTTTATGTGACTTTGTGTTTTACCTAGGGAGAGAGAAAGTTTGTATTAAAGTTTGTAGAAAGATTTGTATTAAATTTCACACTAAAAAATGTTTCTCTCTGTGTCAGAATTAGAAACGATGTATCAGAAATTTTTAAAATAATATTACATGATATTATGCCCAAAACGACGAATTTAGTATTATCCGTTTATCCAATCGCGAAAGATGTATCCGCGAACTTCGCGGATTTTCATTATCGGCATTATTATTATCCTCGGGGCTGCGGCGCGCCGTGTTGTTGGAACGTTTGGCAAGTCAACGAATGGTGGCGTGCGCGCGATTCACGATGTTCTCCGTACTTCGCGCATAAAGATCCCGGTGGCGTTTTCGATTCTAATTGAAGCAACGTCGCGTTCCTTGACCAAACGAGGGAGCAGGCGATCCGATGGATGGTCCGGCGCTGCCGCCCCCCTCAGATCTGCTTACAAAGCAATCTCGGGATCCGAGCCGAGGTCTATAGCGAACACCAGCTAATCTAATCTCCGTTACGACGAGCGATGCCGAGTCGAAATCGAGCTTGGCAGAGGAACCCCGGTCGTCTTCCCTCTGTCCAAGGGGTCGCGTGGAAGCTGGGCAGTAACCAATCTTTATCTTGATTATGCAACGGCAACAGCACCGACAGGGGCCAATCTCCAACCGAGAGCGACTGCCAAATAAGATCGTAAAGAGCCCCGAATCTATCGATCAGTAGTGTTTCAGGATGCGAATTCATCGGGCATGTCGGATTTGCAATGGAGATGGAATGGCACCGACAACTATTGTATATATCGCGATTTTCCGCTCACGACATCCGTTATCTATATCCCCGAATCGACGAAAACGGTCGTCGTCGTAGTCGTCGTTGTCGCCGTCATCCGCCCATCCCGCCCTGTCGAATCGCATCGCGTCGACGTGCTGTCTCGTCGACGGGGAATTTACCTCCGCGAGTTTTCCAAGACTTTATTATTACCGATATTTATCGACTTGTCTGATGTATGTGTGTACGCGTGTGTGTGCACAGAACAATACATATTACATTCGAGTAAATGTTACTTGTTTCAAGTACCTCATAAGTTTTTATATTCGCAAATCTATTATAAATTCATTATAAGTATAAAATTTATTCAAAATATATTTCAAATTCTAATAAGTTTGGCATTAAATGAAAAATATTACATTGAAAGAAAAATTCGGTTTGCTTACTACGCATACACTGAGAAGAAATATCTAATAAAGTAGTCAATATTTATTTAGTGAGCACACTAACAGTATATATATTTACTCATATAATAATATAAAATATGTTGCAAATAAGAAAATATATATTTTCTTAAAATCTTGGGGAAATTTTAGTTTTTCTGAAAGCCATTATTTATTTCATTTAAACAAAAGAATTTAGATTTAACTAAAAATATGTTGTTACTACTCACCAAAAATAAATATTTACTAATCTTTAAATACTTTTCAGTGTCATTATATTCAGTGTAGAGTCAAGCTAATTTTTTCTTCGATAAAATCTTATAACAGCCTTGTTATAAAGATTTTTGCAAATAGATCGAATACACGGTAATGAGTTTTCTTTTTAAATGTGTGATGAGTATATTTTAAGAAAATATCAAGAAAATATTCTCTGTGGAAGATAACCGTTACTTGAAACAAGAAATTACTTGAAACAAAGAAAATAAGTTGAGTAATTGCTTCCCTCAGCAATAGAATGATATTTTTCAGTGTATGTGCTTTTTCCGAACTCGCACACTGAATGGCAACGCACTGGTCTCTCTTCCTCTTTCGCGTTGGCATAGAAACTTGCTGAAAGATTAGGACCGCGGGGGCAATTATTTTCCGCGATTTTTGATGGCTCTTTGAGATCATCTAATAAAACCGTCAGGGAGGCCGGAACAAATGGGTCAACAGTTAGCGAAACGACCTGTGCAGCGAGCGCCAAGCCGTGATATACGCGTCGCCGACGTCTGTAAAACTCAATAAATTGTTTTTGGCTTATGACGTTATAAATGGCGCTGTGTTTACGAGAGGCGAATTTATGTCGCGGGTAATAGGATTAATGGTAAAATTAGACAGCTTATCGATGATCCCCCGACGAGCGCGTGAGGACACGCGGTGAGTGCACGCGCTGCGACAACAAAACACTTCTGGGGCGCAGCAGGACATATGCAGGTCCCACACCTTCCCCACCTTCCCCTGCATTTGTGCGTCATAACGTTAATTAAAATGATTGCGCGAGCATCTGGCGGGATACTTAACTTCAAATATCGATTCGGGTCACGCCGTTTACGTCGCGAGGTGTTGATCGAGAATGCGAGGGCGTGTTGGCAAGCATTAGACGCGCTTTTTATTTGAAATAGAAATTGATTCGGTAGTAATTCGCGTTTTAAGGATACTTTCTAGTCAAAATCTTTTGAAAAGTAGAATTTTTTGCGTATTTCGATAAGTACATTTCAAGATTAGTACATACTGCAAAAATTTCACGAAGAGGTGACCGCATCGCCGTCTCGTGTCGGTTATATTGAATTTGCAAGCTCGACGCGGTAAGACGCGAGATCTTGCCGCGAGACGAAAGACGAGTGCAACCGCATCATCGATCCGCCGCGTAAAAGTGCGTCCGAGCACAGATATCGATTACGAGCGGAAAAAAGGAGCGAAACGAAGACGGTGATGCGATTTGTTGCGGTCTAGAAATTTCCGTGCTATTGTTCCCGCGGCGGACCGATGGTCACGGAAAAAGCGGTAATAATGGAAAGTTCTTCCTGTGCCGCGCGCGCTGTGGATACAACTTTGCTTTTTTCTTCTCTTCAAATTTTTTGCGAGGACATTACGTTCATGCAGTGTATCGTGATACGACTGTGAATTCCTGGCGAGAAACTCGCTCGAAAAACTTGCTGCGACGCGGCTATCGGGAATGCAGACATTATCGGGATGCTAACGAATCAATCCGTTACGTCGTGCCGCGCACTGTCACGTGGAATAACACTTCAGCGACCGATCGGACGCCGCAGAACGCGCGCCGGAGATAGGTATGGCGCGACGGAATATTCTAGTAGGATAAAACGCGACGTGTGCAGCGATGCGAGAAAGTGTGAAACCGTGTGAAGCCGACCTCGCCCCCTCCGTGTTGGCGGAGGAGATTGGAACGAAATTTAGGAACACTTGCGGTCGTGCGGATGAAAGTGGACTCGGCGGAAACGGCCACGGCCGTTGCCATGGCGGAAGTAGTCGGACCATCGATATTTAAGTGTCAACCGTTGTAGCGCCGGCCATCAGTCCGATCGAATCCGGGCGCGATCGAGATGGTGCGAGGTGCGATGCTATTTCTGCCATTCATCGCAATATGTTCGCTCACATTACAGCCGACCTGTCACGCCCGGGACTTGGCTGGCGCGGGATCGCATGTCAGCCGTCGCGACGTGGAAGGGAAGAACGGTGACCATCATGTAGGTCATTTGGAGGCCGCGGTGTCGGCGCCGACCGTTGGCGTCGATCTGGAGACCGCGGCGACCGGCCACAAGGGCCATTATCACGAGTCCGGCGGTGGCCACAAACACGAGGCTCATCATCACGAGGAGCACGGCGGCAAAGGTGAGAAAGGCTACAAGAGTCATCACCATCACGACAAAGGCGACAGCGGTAAGCACGACAAGGAACACCATTCCGGCCACCACGAGGACCACGGTGGCAAGAAGAAGGGCCATCACGACGAGCACGAGAAGTACGGCGAGCACCACGAGGGTGAGAAAGGTCACAAGGGTGGCAAGTTCGGTGAGAAAAAGGGGCATAAGAAAGGCCACAAGACCAAGGGCTACCACAACAAATTCCACAAGGACGAGTATCACAAGGAGCACAAGTTCTATGATGATTACCATAAGGGTGGTCATCATGAGAAGCACGGCGATTTCCATGGACACCACGAGAAGAAGGAAGGCCACCACAAGAAGGGCGGTCATCATCATTCCGGCTATCACGAAGATCACCACGGCAAAAAGGGCCACCATGACAAAGGTCATCACGACGAGGCACACAAGGGTCATCACGGCAAGCACGGCCACGAGCATCATGACGAGCATCACGACACATATGGCAAGAAGGGTGCTCATCATTCCGGAAAGAAGTACGGCTATAAGAAGGGACATTAGGCTTGCACGTCCAAGTACGATCGCGGATCGAAGGAGGACCGCTCGATTTACGGTTATTGATAGTTTTATGTACCTTCTTAGGAGGGGATTGCGTGACGGTGGCGCGCCGCGCGCATTTCGTCCCATACTTTATAAAGCAAACGTTGCGAACATCGTCACGTGCAGAGAAACCGCCCGTCTTGTCTCTGTTGCTTTCTTTGTGTCTCTCTCCCTCTCTCACTCTGTCCGTCTCTCTCTTTTTCGGTCTTAATGGGTCGAATAAGTTTCTCCTCCCCAGCTCATATTTGTCCCGGCAGCTACATTACAGTCAAGACGGCGACGTGATATTACGCCTTATCGATTTTCCGCGATTTATTGCCGCCGTTTTTCTCGACGGCCTTTTACCACTTCCCATCGCAGCCAACTAAAGTAATTTCGCCGTTTCCTCCCGTCGCCTACACACTCCCACCCTATCCTCTTTCACCAGACGATTGACGAGAGATAACGACTGCGTGGGGATGGATGGGCGATTGTTTTCCGACCAGTGGTCTGTTCTTTTCAACTGCACTGCTACACTGGTGCAATAAGCTAAAGTGAAATAAAATATATTTGTCTCACTCTAACTTATTGCACCAGTGCAACAGTGCAGCTGAAAAGAACAGACTTCAGATCGCGCCGATCTCACGCACCATCATGGCGCACAACGTCGACGAGATCGCGCGCGTCATCGGTATCAATTATTAATGTCATCGATATCAATTTAGCTAAAAGATCGCGTCGATTAAACTCGATTATCCGTTTCGTAATGTTCGCGCTATCATGGTTTCGCGTTAATGTGGCTTTTTTCGATTAAATGTAAAGCTGCGTACGCCGTTTGCTCTGAGCGACGGTGAATTAATTTAGAGAGCACGATAAAAATGTGCTTTTTAGCGCGCGCGCCTCTCCATTGTCGGAGACGAGAGTAATGCACTGGCGATTCCGTCGCGATATGATATGAATTTTAATGTCACATATAGCACAGGTCATTAATGCGCCAATAATTGAGGTTAATCGATTGGCCAACTGATTGAATTGATTCCCGGATATTAATGTGTCGCTCCACGGGAACGCGTTGCGAGTTGGCACCGTTAAATTTGTATGTAAATACCGCGTATATCTACGTAGCTGCGGCGTTATCTCACGCGATGCTGCGCGACGCGACGCTACGTTACCCACATTGTAAAACATCGAAATGCAAATATACTTTTATAATGTCACATCGAGACGATATCTCGTATATTCGGAAACAAAGCGTGTGCGCGTGCTCGCGCTCGCACATGCACGCCGTGCCGTCTACAATTTACAGTAACATTTGAGAGTAACGCGCTTCAAATCGCGCTGTTTCCGTACCGTTAAATTTCTCGAAATAGCCCGACACGTACTGTTTCACAGTCTATTACTATCGCGAAGAGTGACGTTGCCAATGTCGTGTGAATGTCTCTCTTCCATATAAAGTAAAAGCATCACTGCCCGAATCTATAACTAATTTTGGACATTCTTTTTGTTTTGGTCTTAATAAATACAAATATATTATATAATATATATTTAAATTTTCGACATAAAAGAAATACATATACAGAGTATTCCAAATTTGTCTCTTTCGTGGAAACAGAACAAATTAAAGTGAACATAAAAGTCCTATATCATTTTGTTATATTCGCAATAAACGTCGAGATATTAATTAAAGAAGATTAGTAAATGATCACGCGATATGTTAGATGAGTTGTAATGGCATCGTTTGCCATCGTATACTTATATATTAGATCAAATTGAACAAAAAGGTTTTTCACCATTTTGCAAATGACCATAGATTTTTGGATATTAATAAGAAGATTTGTATAGTATCACGCAAAATCATGTGACAACTTTCTTTCATTAATAACTATAAATTTATGGTTATTTGTAAAGTGATAAAAAGATTCTTTTTTGTTCAGTTTCGTCTAATGTACAAGCACACAACAGCACACATCGCCACTACAGCTGATCTACCATATTGCCTGTGATCATTTGCCAATCTTTTTTAATTAATATCTCGACATTTATTGCCAATATCGCAAGACGATGTAGGGCTTTTACGTTCACCTCAATTATCGGGATATTAATTAAAGAAGATTTGTGAATAATCATGCGAAATATGGTAGATGAGCTATAATGGCGACGTCTCTCATTGTATGCTTGTATATTAAGTCTAACTTAATGAACAAAAACGTCCTATATCATTTTTCTAATAAATTTGTAGATTATTAATTATTAATTAATAATTAATAAAATTTAATTATTAAATATTAATTAATAATTAATTATTAATAAAGAGATAATTATTAATTATAATAAAGATTAGCGGATGGTCATTTGTGATAATATATTAATGTTATCTAATCAATAACTAAAAATTTACAAAATTATTAGGCAAAAAAATAGAGGACTGCAGATATCGTCACTACAGCTCTATCATATCTCACGTGATCATTCACAAATCTTTAATTAATATTTCGATAATTGCTTACTGCGAATATTGAAAAATAATGCAAGATTTTTATGTTCATCTTAATTTGTAGTATGTCTTTATGAGAGTTTTAAATGTTGTTCTGGAGGACCTTATATATATATATATATATTTTTTTTTTATGTTGAAAGTTTAAATATTCTTATTTAAAAACCAAAACAATAAGAATTTGGGATTAGGTACTTGTCCGGGAATTAGTATTTTTGCCTTGCCAGAGTTCTTCTCCAGGGTTTGGTCTGTTGCGTTTATTTTGTCTATCGCGTTCTCGACACCTCGTGATCTTTGTTAGCCGCTGCACCATGTTATGATGATTTGACCGCAGCCGGTGCAAGCCGTCGAAAACATATGGCCGCTTAATGTAAATCATCGCGTCGCCTCCTGCAACGCGCATACATAACGCGACGCTTATTGCATGTCGATTAGTCCCGACGAAGATTTTAGAAAATATTGTGCAAATCGGTTGTATACGAACACGTCATAATGTTCGGAAATTATTTCCGTCTACGACAGAATATGCGCGCGAGAGTTATCGCACGATCGATCGCGCGAATAAAATTAACCGTCGGGAGAAAAGAAGTCAAATGGAGCGGCATCAACGACGGCGAAAGCGAGCCCCTTTTCCCGTCCTCTTCTTCGCTTCCACACTCGTATAAATGGATTAAAACAGTCACGCACGTGTCGGTGGCGGCGGCGGCGCGAAGCCTTGATTATGAACATATTTGATTATCTCGGTTTTTAGCGCGATACAATGAATACGCCAACAAGATAAGCTTAATCCAAATATTTAATCTAGAAGCTTACATCGTCAAAGGATTTCTTGCGCGGTCTCATGATGCAATTTTCATTATACGTCTGCAGCGTACAGGTCATTTATTATTCGTAGGGTTGCTTCGGCTCCGTGAAAATTTTATCAAAGGTACCCGGGATTCAGGGAGCGGAGAGCTTATTTAGCTGGTTATTTCGGCAACATTGTGTTAAACAACTTTTGTTCCCCGCCGAGTTTAGCTCGACACACACATAAAGAGTAACTTGTATTTATTACGCCTCTACTCTCGACAGACCGGTTTTCGAGGATGCGACGTAACAACGCGAGCATTTTCCCGCTGCGGAAAGCGAGGAACGACAGGAAAAAAAAACGTATCGTTTTTTCGTCTCCAGTATGGCGGCGCGCAGACAACGAGCACGCGGGGTTGCGAGCCAAAAGTGCAAATGTCACGTGTTCCGTGAGTCCTCATTAATTTAGTCGAATAGCGCGATTATTCCGGTTCCGTGAAAGCACGCGAAATCACAGAGAACCACGCGTCTCCCGCGCGCGTGCGCGCACTTCTTCGTACGCACACACGTGCTTGTATATCTCGCGTTTTCCTTCTTTTTTTTACGTGACGCGCGCGCGGCCACTTCAATTACATTAATTAAACCACCTCTACACGCGTGCACGCGTTGCGAGCCGAAACAATAGCGGGCCCTTTTGACGGCCGGCGGTATTATCGCACGGCGGAGCGTTTCAAGTAGTACGCGCTGCCGCGTGCGCATGCAATCTCCGGCGGAGAATGGGCCCGGCGCAATTCTGCGCAAACGCTCGTACGCGGCAGGGAAAGAAGCGAGCATAGAGCGAGCCCCCGTTAATCCGGCCCGCCGGAATTCAATTCGGACGGACACCGGAGTGGACATCGGCGGCGATCTCATTTGCAACGCGGCTCGGCATGATCGTTAATCAAATTCGCGACGCGACGAATATGACGGTTGCGCCGCTTTCTACCCCGCCTCGCTGTTTTTACGATGCGAAGACGTGGCAAAAAAGTAGCCACCGCGTTTGGCAAAGTGTGCAACGGGGGACACTCCGACGAATGTCGGATATTAATTGAAAGTCGCGGCTTTTTCGAGATCCCATCCTCCCGGCCCGCTCGCTCTTCGTTTGCGCGCGATAATTACTGTCGCAATGCTCCTCTTTAATAAAGCTCTTTAATAAAGCCATTGAAAAGATAATGGGTTTAAGCGTAGACGAGACCGCTACCGCGGCTGTGTATTCCCGAAAGAGTTCACGTTAAACTAAATATTAATAATACCGCGCGAATACGCTTTACATTTACGCCGTTTCGTCCGATAATGTATTAACCAACGATGTATTGCATTTAGAGCCGTTTATTAATATCGGAATTTGATAAATCGCTGGAGTATAGGAATTTTTATTAAGAACAGGGATCCCCCCGGCACACTGGTAATTTACGATGCCTACAGTTTGCAGCGTTCAATGGCGGATATACATCTATTGAAGCTGCGAAAGAAGCGCGGCGAGGGGTTTCTGATAATCTCGTAATTACTGATTGATGCGCGTGGCTGTTTGTTACGTATCACAGTGAATTAAATGTCGCGTGTATCACAATATCCGCGCTATTGAATGCTATTATTATTGTTATTGTATTGTATTGACATAATTCCACGGCGTGTAAAACCACCTTTTTAGTTCAGGAGAAATATATAGCTTCTAAAAAGTAGCTTCTTCCATCTTACACGATGGTTCTGTCATTATGATCCCAAACGTGACGGAATAATTTATGATTATGTTGGTATTATGTTGCGCACAAGGCAGAAGAAACACGTGTTAAATATGACACTTTATATTTCAACAATGTTACAACGTATGCACGATTAACAATTAATGAATAACGACCATGCCATTCTCATGAGCGAGTATGTATCTAAGCCGCAAATATATATTCTTGAGTTATCGTATGAAAAAGAACGGCGAGCGAGGAAAAAGAACGAACGAGAGCGAGGATTCTATTAAACAGCCAGCTGGTGGTACCTCTCTAAGAGACGAGGATATCTTAGTGTCCCTTCTTGTACTCCCACTTCTTGTGATCCTCGTGACCGCCTTTCTTGCCGTGATGATGGTGATGATCGTGATGTTCGTCGTGACCGCCGTCGCTTTTGTGACCTTTGTGATCATGATGATGATGACCTTTCTCGTGGTGACCTTTCTTACCGTGATGACCTTCGTGATGATGATGATCGTGATGGCCTTTCTTGAAGTGACCGCCCTTCTTATGACCATGCTCGTGATGATGGCCGCCGTGCTCCTCGTGATGACCGTCGTCGTGATCCTCGTCGAAGAACTCCTTGTCCTTCTTGTATTCGTCGTGTTTCTTCACCTCGTGATGACCGTGAGTGCTGTGGCCTTTGCCGAAGTGTCCCTTTTCGTGGAACTTGTGACCCTTCTCTCCCTTCTTGCCTTCGTGATGCTCGTGATGGTAGCCGTCGTCGTGATGATGATGCTTCTTGTGCCCTCCGTGCTCGTCGTGGTGGCCGTGATTATGCTCCTTGTCATGATGTCCCTTCTCACCCTTCTCATCGTGACCGTGATGCTTGTAACCCTTGTGACCATGCCCGCCGTACTTGTGATGATGACCGGAATGATGCTCTTCGCCACCGCCGCTCTCGTGATGATGGCCGTGATGACTGGCGGCCACTTGCAAATCGTCATAACCATCGTCTCCGATGATCTCACGCGCGGTGATCGCGCAATATGCGGCGATATACATCGCCATGAGCATAGTCATCAACACACGACGCAGGGTAAACATGATGATAGTAATGTAAAAGCAATATATCACAAGATTCGATTATCAATCTCTCACCGATCTGAGTGTTTTCTATCGTTGCCTGCGATACGATATGGTCAGTTGGCGAGAAGGTGTTATTTATATCGTGATTCTGACGCGGCGAGCCATCAAATACGCTCGGCGGTACTCGAGAAAAAGTATATATTTATATAAATAATAGACGGCGCGGGGGAGTTTCCTTTCATTTTTCCCCCGTTGCACGGTAAATCTTACTGAGCTTGGTTTTATTTTGTAACCTCTGTGTTACTTATTTAAAGTTATATAAACGGAATTATTACGTGATATCGATCGAGCTTCCTTTATCGATTTTCAGTAGTTCACTGAACCCGGAATAAGAAGTTGCACCGTGTCAATATTATCTTTTATTAAGTAAATCTATATCAAAATAGAAAGCCAGGTTAAATAAATATTGCTATTAAAATAGAGTTACCAGAGAGTCTCTGCGGTTTTATATGTAATCTCTTTCGTATTCACGCATTGTTTATTTACACCGTTTATGGTCAATTGTGTGGTTTCGTTGTATACGTTATTTTGAATATTTTCAAAATTTTATGGGTGACGAGCGAAAAGCTGACGCAGCATTTAATATGCAGTTAAATCCGTGAAGATATTCATCGCGCTTGGTTTTTATATAAATATATATATATATATATATATATATATATATATATATATATATATATATCTAGAGCAAAGTGAAAATAAAAAGATATATTAAGTGAAATAACAAAATCTCTCGGAAAAATAAAAAGATATATCAAGAATATTAATAATTTTTAATATATATATTAATTGTGAAAAATATTGGCTATTTGAAGCTCATGCTTTGCACTCGTTAGTATCTTTGGAGGAGGATAAGTCCGATATAATTTTGTTCCTAATAATATATGCGCGTTGAATAATTCATAATTCCTTGATCTCCGTAAAGGTAACATAAAAACATCATTCTGCGAGCTAATATCTCTTTCTATATTATGACAGATCTTCTTGGCATGCGAGGAACTGCGGTAAGAAAATTACGAAATTGAGTAATAGAATACATTCGCTTTTATTTTACGGTAATATTGCATGAATTAACAGAACAAAATTTTAATTTTTTATACTTTACGTTCATGCGACTATCGCAAGGATATGTGCTATCATACACACATACATGCATACACACACACATACACACATACACACACATCTGAGTATATTTAAGGAATAGTGGGAGTCGTAAGGAAAGTAATCGATTTAAGAATATATTCGGAGCTTAGACATTTTAATTTCTCAGTAAACATCTGACGGAATAAGTCATTACTATCCAGTATCTTATAAATAATCAACGAGAGACTGAGGGAACAGACGATTCAACAATTTAATCTTTGCGTTGCACCAAATTGCCGGGTTTCGCCCGATTAATGATGATGATGATAGTGATGACCGCCGCCACCATGACCTCCGCCACCGTGACCGCCGCCACCGTGACCTCCGCCACCGTGACCGCCGCCACCGTGACCGCCGCCGCCGTGACCGCCGCCGCCGCCGCTCGAAAATCCATGCTTTTTGCCACCATGGTGCTCATGCTTTTTGCCATAATCCTCGTGATGATGATGATGCTCTTCATGACCGTGTTTGCCATGATGGCCGTGGTGGTCCTCGTCGTAATGTCCTTTGTCGTGATGGCCCTTCTTACCGTGGTGATCCTCATGGTGGCCGGAATGATGATGTCCGCCCTTCTTGTGATGACCTTCCTTACCATGGTGATGCTCATGATGATCGCCGTGTTTTTCGTGATGGCCACCTTTGTGATAATCGTCGTAGAATTTATGCTCCTTGTGGAACTCATCTTTGTGGGATTTGTGATGATAACCGTGGGTCTTCTCGCCCTTCTTATGGCCTTTCCCGTGGCCAAATTTCGACTCTTTGTGGCCATGTTCGTGTTCATGATGGCTACCGTGCTCATCGTGCTCATCATGATGACCCTTCTTGTGTCCGCCATGCTCGTCATGGTGACCTTCGTGATACTCTTTACCGTGGCCGCCGTGTTCACCCTTCTCATGGTGATGATGCCCTTTGTAGCCCTTCTCGCCCTTCTCACCGTGTTCTCCATGATGATGGGAATGATGCTCGTGGCCTCCACCGTGCTCGTGGTGATGACCATGGCCTCCTCCACCTCCTCCACCTCCGTGTCCATGGCCTCCTCCACCTCCTCCACCTCCGTGTCCATGGCCTCCTCCACCTCCTCCACCTCCGTGCCCATGGCCTCCTCCACCTCCTCCACCTCCGTGCTCATGATGATGAGAGCCGGCCACCTCCAGATCTCCTGTCAAACTTCGGACCTCGCGGGCCGAAGACATTACGACGATCGAGCACATCACGCCCATTCCCACGAGCAACCATGGTCCTACGTGCTTAGCCATATTGGCAGTCTGTAGGACTAACGAGTGCAACAATCGACTGGCCAACAATCTTTAAGGCAAAGCTTATATACCTGCGGTTCCGCCAACGCTTTGCACGTAATCGCTTTCGATCCCTCGCACTCGTTCGGTTACGATACAGGGCTCGCATTTCGTAAAGCGCTACTTTGCGCGGTGCGTACCGTCACCTGAATGCGCTATTAGTTGCAAAGAACTGTTCGGTACGAAACGAATTGTCAATCATGGATTACTTAACGGAGCAAAATGACGTTCCCTTTCGTTGGAGAGCGAAGCGGAGAGCAACAGGATACAATACGTGAGAGATCAAAATGGCGTGCGCCCGGGATTGGAAATCTAGGGCACGTGTCGATAACTTCTTTCCTTGGAAAGTAAGATATCAACGGATATTATCGATGGATAATGATCTCCCGCGCCAATGTCTGCTAAAAATAAGAGACGGTTTGAGCGCAACGAAAACGTCGGTTGCTCTTGCGGCTGCAATAACCAGATCGATCTGGGATTTATCAGGAAGTAAATTAATGCGCTCCGCCAATTTAGCGGTCGGCGAGCAACAAAACGAGAAAACCGGAACAATTTATCGCCTTTCATTCATTACCGCCCAATTCATTTCTGCGTCAATCGAAACCGGTTTATTTTATTTTATATATATATTTTTTTATCGTAGTACTCATCATTCGACGACTGCGATGGTGATGGCACGGCCGCATTACGACATTGTCCATTGTTTGTTTTCACGACGTGTATATTAATCGTATAAATTTCCGTCCGTAATAGAGGAATAAATCGAAGCTGTCGTGAACGAGCGCGTTACCGTTCGGCGACGACAAAAACGCGTTATTTAGGTTCCACAGACGCAGTTTGGCAAGCAGGGGCAACGATTTCAATTAGATTACATAACAACCCGAGAGCGAGAGTCACGGGCTCGCTGAAATCCGCATTACTACAATTTAAACAGGTTAAGGGGACGTTGGCTTTTGCAACGGCTTAATGAGCCAAGAAAGGAGAGCCCGTGCTTCCCTCATATTGATTATCCCTGCGATCGATATATAATCCGAGCGAGGCGAGCAGCTTTAATCATACCGATCACAGCGGCGAAGTTAAACACCTCTCTCGTTGATATTGGACTGAAGGAGGATAAACACGGTACGATGAGCAGACTGGCGGCGATCTGCCTGTTGGCAGTGTGCATCGCCTCTCACTGCGTGACGCGCGCGCGCGAAATCACGAGGGATCATTACGATGACCTGCAGGTAGCCGCCAGTCATCACGGCCATCATCACGAGAGCGGCCACGGTGAGGAGCATCATTCTGATCATCACCACGAACACGGCGGAAAAGGCAGCAAGGGTTACAAGTCGGCGCATCATCACGATAAGGGAGAGAAGGGACACCACGATAAGGAGGGCCACTCCGGAGGCTATCACGAGGGCGGCGGTCACAAGAAGCATCATCATCACGACGACGGTTATTACAGCGAGCATCACAAGGGCGAGAAGGGCGAGAAGGGTCACAAGTTCCAGGAGAAGGGCCATTACGGTAAGGGCCACAGCACGAAGGGGCACCACGAAATGCACAAGCTCGACGAATACAAGAAGGACAAAGATTTCTTCGACGAGCATCACGACCACGGCCATCACGAGGAACACGGTGGCCATCATCACGAGCACGGTCATAAGAAGGGCGGCCACTTCAAGAAGGGCCATCACGACCATCATCACCACGAGGATCATTACGGCAAGAAGGGTCATCACGAGAAGGGACATCATCATCACGACCACAAGGGTCACAAAGGCCACGGCGGTCACGAGGAGCATCATGATCATCATTCCCATTACGGCAAGAAGGGAGGTCACGAGGACCACAAGCATTGGGGATTCAAGAAGGGACATTGATGTGGATATTATGAGAAGAATCGTCGTTTTACGAGTCGCTTTCGCTTGTTGAGCCGCGTTTGTTAGAAAGTACCACGTTACGTTGACGAGAGTTGTACGCTTTTACGAGCAGAATAAATTCCCTTTCTGATAGACACTCCATGCCAGATCTCATTTGTACATGCATTCATCATTGCCAATCATAACGTTACGTCAGTCATGCCACCGCGCACGATGCGCGTCTGTTGAACCGAATTTTTTTCTTACCGCTGCATTTTGTCACGTTTTTTCGGGGAGGAGATACGTGGTAGCCCGCATTAATCAGATTTTTATAACGCTATGAATGTATATCGGACGTGAAATGGAATTTGAATTATTTCCACTCCACGGCCGTAACGTGTGTCGCAAAATCGGTAACTGTCGTAATAATTTAGTGGAGTTTCATGTTTTGTGCCACATCAGTCACGCTTCTGCGGCGTAACAGCTGTCACAAGAAAATATGGCCGCTCGTTACATACCATTTCCATAAAACCGTTGTATCGGCCATTTACCTTGTTCTGTGGTGCAATTGACACGGTTTTATAACTGTTTTTGTTTTATCGTACCTTTCTTAATAATTAGAAACATTTAATAGCAGCCACATAGATTAAAACAAATGAATCGATCTCAATTATTTATATAATTTAATTATATGTGAAATCATTTAAATTATTACTGGGAAAGAGAGAGAGAGAGAGAGAGAGAGAG